AATTGAGCACGGGCCGTTTTCAAACTGGGGCGCTCCCCTTTGCGCCGCGCCGCGCGCATTCATTTACAATGTAACGTTTAAAAGGACGGAAGACGTGTGACTCGCTCTTGTTTGCAACCCATCAAAAACACGGAACTTTCACGAATGTCGCGCTGCACGGGTCGATGGTGGTTCTTTTTCGAAATGGAGCTGTCCCCCGAGATCTCCTCGAACTTCATGGCCACAAATATAAACTTGTGTAGCAGTTACACGAAAGGGGGTGGCCCTTCGAAAGGGGGATCGCGATGGACGCCTCATTGAACTGCGTGGCTATAGTTACTTGCGTTCCTGATTACGGGCTGGAAATATGCAAAGCAAGTCCTGTTCAAAGCGGGGCCCTCGCCACAATGACAGGCCCAACTGTGCTGATCTTTCAAGGGGGCAATTCTTGTAGTGGCGTATGTGGAGGAGGGCTTGGGACGGGAGGGTGTATTTCAGCATCGCTGTTGCATCCTTGGGTTACGCTGGTCCGGTCCCTTCTCCTCCTCATCCGTAGCATGGTCATTATCATCGGCATCATCATCATCATCATCACCATCACCATCATCATCATCATCAGCATCATAATCATAATCAGCATAATCAGCATCATTATCATCACCATCATCATCATCATCATCATCATCATCATCATCATCATCATCATCATCGTCGTCATCGTCAACAGCATCATCACCATCATCATACTCAGCATCGTCAGCATCATCATCAGCATCATCATCAGCCGTATAACCATCACTATCATCATAATCCTCATCGCCATCCTCAACACCAACAACCATAACAAAACCACAAACAACAATAACAACAGCAGCAACAACAACCTCAGGCCTCCAAGACGCTCCAAGGGCCTTCCAAGAGGCCTCCGAAGAGGGCCCCAAGTTGCCAAAATCGTTGATTTTCATTGTTTTTTCTATGTTTTTTTGCGTTCTGGCCTTTTCGCTTCCGGACGCTCCAAGAGGGCCCAAGAGGCCTTCAAGACTGCTCCAAGACGGCCCACGAGGCTCCCAAGACGGCCCCGGAGCGGCCCAAGAGCGCCCCCCAGACGGCCCAAGTGCTGCCCAAGGCGGACCAAGAGGCCCCAAGACGGGCCCAAGAGGGGCTCAAGAAGGGAACCGAGAACTGAAAAATCGAGCCCTCCGCCCCAGAAGGCGCCCAGGACCCCGAAAGAGGCCCCAAGAGACTCTCCAAAACACCCCCAAGACGCCCCAATAAGCTCCCGTGAGGCCCCAAGAGGACCAACAACGTCAGGACCCAGGCCCCAAGAGGACCAACAAATACCGCCAAGAGCCCGCCGAAAGCCCCCCAAGAGACCGTCACGAGAGCTCAGGAGGCCCCCTGGAGGCCTCCCGAGTTCTCCAAGAGGCCTAAAAAGAGGCGCCAAGAGGCCCCAAGCGGCCCCACCGAGGCTCCAAGAGGCCACGTACGCGCAAGCAAACGCCTGCGATGGCACAATACGGGCCGGCGGAATGAGCGAAGCGATTAATAACAATAGCAGCAACAACAACAACCTCAACAGCAACAACAAGAACCAGATCAACATCAACATCACCATCAACACGGTAATCATCAGCATAAACGTGATGATCATCACAACCATCAGCTGCACACTACACAGCCTTCATCGTCGTCGTCAAGTAAAACAATCACCATCATAGCCACCATCATCTATGCACCGCCACCCTCCTCTGATCTAGCCCATGGAGTATGCTGATCATGATCGTCAGCTTCCTCCTCCATATCATTATGTTCGTTTTCTTCATCATCAGAATCATCATCAACATCATCACGACCACCAACACCATCACCATCATCATCCTCATCAGCATCATCATCGTTACCATCATCAGTATCATCAGCATAATCATCATCATCATCATCAGCAGCATCATCATAATCGTCCTAATAATCACACTCATGTGTATCATCACATTCATCAACGTCACCGTCATCATCGTAGTTATCATCTCTAGGCCTCCGCCGCATTCCCAATCATGCGTACTCCATCCTCCTCGCTCTTCCTCCCTCCTCCCTCCTCTCACTCCTGCCCCACACCCCACCCCCTCCGCTCTCTGCTCAGGGCCTCGTCCCGCCCAGATGCTGTCAGAGACCCCAGACCGACAAACGAAGCGCGGCCCCCCCTTGTGGCAAGGACGATCTGCATCGGCAACCCAACTCCTTTCCCCCCCTCTCCCCTCATTCCGCAAACCCCTTTCTCCCTCTTCGTCTTTCTCCTCATCTCCGCCTCCCCCTCATCATAATCATCCTCCTCCTAACCCATCCTCGCACTCCCTGCCTCCTCCCGCCTGTCCCCCGCCGTCTCCATTATCCTTCCTAGTCCTCTTCCTCCTCCTCCTCCTCCTCCTCCTCCTCCTCCTCTCCTCCTCCTCCACCTGGTCCCCTCCTCCTCCTCCTCCTCATCCTCCTCCTCCTCCTCCTCATCATCATCATCATCATCGTCATCACCACCATCATCATCGTCATCAACATCATTATCATCAGCATCATCATCATCATCATCTTCATCATCAGCATCATCATCATC